TGAAAAAAGCTGCCGACGGGATCTGGAAGGGTGAGGAGGAGCGCAGTCGTTCCTCGTCGAGGACGACGGATGGAATGACGATCCGAAGGGTCGGAGATCCGTCCGGATGCGAGCAGACGACAGAGAGAGGGGAAGGAGGAATGAACTCTGAGGGAAAGGGGAAAGGAAATCACTTGAGCACCATTGCGGGATCCACGATTTCTTCTTTACGAGAGGCATCTTTTTTGTTCTTGCAGGGAGTTAAAGATTTGCAACGAAAAGACGACGACGACGATTGGGTTGGACACCAGATGGGTTCCGATCACAGGGTCGTTCGATATCGTCACTGTCACGAGGGGGAGGGGAGGGAGGTCCTTTCCTGAGGAAAATTTTCATGGGGAGAAAAGGAGAGAGAACAAATGCCCTTCTTGGTCCTGGTCCTTCCCTCTCTCGCCTCCACCTGCTGCCCTGGAACGAAGGACAAAGGTCAAAGTTGCGGAAAGGGGATCGCACGCAGGAGATGCGGGAAATATAGCCCGATTCCTTGGGTATTTGCAAACTCATTGATATTTGCAGAGATTTCTCAGCTATCACAGGAATGTGCACTTGAACATGAGGAATCCTGATGATGGAAAAGTTAGTACTTCTTGATTCTTTACCAGTGAGACAATACATGTGGTACTTAAAAAAAAAACTTAAAAAAGCATTCACTAGAGTCACTGGGTTGTGACAGAGCAAAACTTGATCCAAAGATGTCATGAAAGAATCTGTGCAGGACACAGAGAGGAAACTCACATCGAGACCATGTGACGACAGAAGAAAGGAGAGGATTTTTAAAAGGAAAAAGGGGCGATCACAATTTGGATGGGTCGTAGTTTTCGAACTTCCATCGGATGCGGTCGGAGTCGAGGTTGCACGACTCCATGACGATCTTGGTGCGGTCTGGTGTGATGGCCAAGCACTTGTGGCTGCTCCCGTGACGTATCAGACCCAACTGTGAGGAGGAATGTGGAAAAAATAAATAACTTATTTAAAATTTCACAAGAAAATATGAGGGAACAAAAATGCATGCATACAGACGAGCAAGCGGCAGTAAAATGAACGAACTCTCGAAACGAAAAATGTAACCGGATTTAAAGGACAGACCTCGTCGTCGTAGAACCACTGTTGGTTGCCCAAGGAGCCATGACAAGGGTAGAGGATCACATCTTTCCCTGCATAATCCAGGCATGCTTCGTCTCGACGAATCTCTCCCGACTTGCTCATCATCCAGAACTGTAGATTTCAACATAGGCAAATCAAGAAGCATATAATTTAAATTCTAAACCTATGAGTGAAATTCATGAGTTGAAAAATAAAAGTCAAAATTCAATGACAGTTTCACTTTCAGCTGGCATGTGAAAAATAAATCATAATGCAACAACAAAGGCAAAGAGCCTTAAGCATAAAGATCATATTTCCATTGGATTTGCATACATTTTGCATAAATCATATAGTAAAATCACATTTTCTGATTGACAGCTGGGAAATAGGGAAAATAAAGATGTCATTGAAAGTAAAAGACTTCATGGAAGAATGCATCGGGTGAACATTTTCAATTGTTTTTACCTGATTGCCTCCCTGGCGATGACAAGGATATGTTCCGACGGGCTTGTGCAGGTCCTGCTTCCGGGCTGCAGCATCCAAACAGGTCTTCCCGCCCTCGCCCAGGTTCCTCATCTGGAAGGGAGAACATCTTTCTCATGGAATCGAGCAGAAAATGAGGCAAATTGAAACGAGTAGAAACGATGGGAGACCTCTCCAGAAGCGACGGCATCTCCAGGTATGAAGAGCTCTGGATAGATGCTGTCTAGATACCACTGGAAGGACTTGCAGTGAAGATTTTCCCTGAGTCTCTTCCTCTCGGATACATCCCCGTAGTCGCCCTGCGGATGTCAAAAAGCAACGTTTGGATTCGGTCTCGCATACAAATAAATGCCTTAAAGATACAAGATCCGAAAATAAGTTTAGGCAACAGGTTGAGATTACGTGATTCGCATCATGAGCTCGTGATGTTCTAGGCTTTGCTCTTGGGCTATGGGCGCACAAGGAAGATTTCATCTTTATGGTACAATTTTAGCTGCAGCTCTAGTTTACTAGTAAAACACAGAGAACAAAAGAAAGAATCAAGGGAGAATCCTTGGAACAATGATAGCCACAGAGGAATGAATATACAACCCATGATAACAGGACACTGCTCAGTGAGTCCCAGAAGGAATAATCAAATCATGACTCATCAGTGTTTGAACTCACAAGAGTGTTGCCGATACGCTGGTAATAGTACTTCTTGTAGTCGTCCATCCAGACCTCGGCCAGGCGGATGGAGTTCCGTCGGAGGACGTTCACACCCTTCCGCCACTGGTACGGAGACCGCTTGCGGAAGATGTGACCCACGTGTGAGCACGGGATGATGTACAGGGTGCCTCCGCACATCCATGTCTGTAGAATGAGGAAATTTCATCATATTGCAATGACAAAAGACTTCACAGATTTAGCTATTCTGGTAATGGGGGTTTGTCTTGATATCCAGCACTAAAAATTCCAATTTTAAACATTTCAACGAGGTTATCCATATATTGTAGCTCTACTGTGGATTCTTGTACAGGTTTCAGCAATTTAATACAAGCTTACCACCTAGCTTGAAAATTGACAAAGTTTAAAACAAATTATCAGTAGCGTTAATGTTAACCATAGTTGTCATTATCTTAATCCAGTAAAATATCATTACAGACCCAAAATGGGTCCTTTCTGGCACAAATCCTACAGATCCTATCCTCACATCATGAAATATTTTTTCTCCTGTCCTGTTATATTGCCCAGTACAACAAAAATGAAAGAATTTCAAGGAAATATACCCAATGTGTAAAATACAGATTCTGAAAACAGCATATTCACCAGATGGAAACTTTGACAATGTTTAAATGCAGAAGACATGAAACAAACATTCATCACATCAAAACAAGCAAAATGCAACAGTAATGACAGGTCCATCCTCGATACCTTGAAGGAGAGTTCCAGGTTCTCGCCCCCCCAGATGTCGAAGCCGTCATCGTAGGTGCCCAGTTTTTCGAAGAACTTCTTGTCGATGGAGAAGAGGCCACCGGCCATGGTGGGAGAGCGGACGGGGTCGGACGGATGCTTCCGCCGGTCCCTCTCTGCCTGGGGGATCGCATGCCACGAGAACTGGAGGTTCCAGTCGAATCCCCCCACGTGGGTGGAATCTCCTTGCTTTCCCATGTACTCGAAGGTGTCGTCGGAGATCACGTCGATCACCGGACACACCACCGACGTCGGGTCCTTCGCGATCGGATCCAGCAGCGGCTCCACCCAACCTGTGAAGGGATTCACTCCAGGGTCAGTGCAGCTCCATCTAACATGTTGATATAGATGCTCACTAGAGCAAAGGGGAAGAACAGAAAAACTACTCTTCTTTAAACCCTAACTTTGAGATAAATCCACCCAGTCTCACAACAGAGTTAATGAATAACTAAACCACTCTTCTATTGAACTCAAGTTCCCCACTCCAGTATACATCATTGAAGCTAAACAAAGAGGAAAATGCAAGACGACAGCAGGAAGGAACAGAAGGCACACCGACCAGGGGTGCACTCGCAGTGGGAGTCCAGGAATGTGAGCACCGGGGCAGTGGCCACCTTGGCCCCTGCGAGACGAGCCCGGATCAGACCCTCCCTCTGCTTCAAGTGCACGACCCGCACCTTCGGGTAGTTGGACACGTATTCTTCCAACCGGTCCTTCAGGTGATCTGAGAAGAAAGTAAAACAATGGTTCTGTGAACACTTCTATGAGCATAAATCCAAGCACTGATCCTCTTCTCACAGACAGAAGAAACAAAACCATCACTTCACAAAACCTCTTTCTTCTCTTTTTAGTACAGTGAGCAAAGAAAGAAATCACGCTATAGTGGTACATTTCATTGATGTAGAGTCATGAAATTCAATCTTAATCATGGACACAGCTTCTAAATTGAGAGTGTGGAGATGCTTATCCTTTTCTGAGTCACTGGACTTAATTGTAGAAAAGACAAGGTTTTCATCTTTCAGGTCTTTCATGTGTAGGTAACAGAAATTGATTTCAGTTAATTTTAGCCAGCTTATCTTGAATTCTTGTTTCAGTGTCACAACATGGTTTCCAGTACACGTGGTACCATTTCTTCAGGCAGAAGGAATGGTATACGACTCACTCTGGCACCTGGGGCAGGTGTCTGAGTTGGCCACATTCCATAAGATGATTGAAATGTCAGAGTTATGCTTACCCTATTGGTTGTGACAATCTGTCTCTGTCAACGACAGCACTCACAAAATGTTCATAATTTCTCCATCAACTAACATGGAATCGGTTTCAGTCAATTTACCACTTCACCCCAAGTTCCCCATCCCACAATCAGCTGATCAAGAACAACCTGCATCTTTCCCTCGTGATTTCAGCCGACAAAAAAAAAGGAACGGCGACCCACCCATGTCGGACGCATCGTCGACCAGGATGATCTCCTCGAGCAGGTGATCCGGGGTGCGGTCCAGGATGGAGTGCATCGTCCGGAGCAGCACGCTCCACGCCTCGTTGTGGAAGCACACTATCACACTCGTTTTTGGCAGCTTCTCCAGGTAACGGCCTGACTCTTTACACCTGCAATGTTCACCGACGTTTTCATTAACATGCGATGGCCACAATCCTTGTTAGTACTTCATAGTACTTCATTCAAACATTTTGCATTTTGTGAATTATCCATAGTTATAAAGAAATTAAATTAAATTAAAAAATCAGAGATACAGATTTTGGTCTGCATGATTCAAGGGTGCACAAAGAACTTTGGGAGTTGAAGATAGAGAGCATTGATCATAGAAACTGGATGCTTCTTCAATCATTTTACACAGATTACAGTTGAGGGGTTCAGCTGTCCGAGGGTATACAAACCGATTCGGTGCTCCAAACGGTTGGCAATTCAACAGGCAGAAGTGGAAAAAGTGGGCAACAGGAGGCAACTCACGATTCGGAGCGCAGGTCGGGCAGAGTCCGATGCAACGAGATCATGTCGGACACGTACTGGTTGAAGGCGTTCTTCGTCCAGCCATCGTCCACCAGCGCTTTCTCCTCCTTCGTCAAGTTCGCCGACAGCTTCACCGCCTTCCCCATCTCACCCGGGCCGGACGGGAGATCCGGCGGGTGGAGGACCCCATCGCCTGCCTGAATGTCATCCACCGGGGGCGGATGCGGCTTCCTCAGCGTGTCGTCCACCTGCGGCGGTCGCGGCTTCTGGATCGCCCCGTCCACGGGTGGCACCACGGGAGGTAGATTCGGCTTCGGGGGAAGGACCTCGTTCACCCCCTCGTTCCCGCTCCCGAGCCCACTGTCCGGCGCGTGGTTGAGGTCCCTCACGTGCGGCAGAGGCACGACCCCTCGCCCTCCCTCCCCGGCGTCCGACTGGCGCTCGTCCCCCGCCGACAGCAGGAACACCGTCGCCAGCCACACCACCGGCAACAGGAGGCACAGCTTCAGCCACAGGGAGCGTCTCCGCAGGAGAATCTTCATCACGAGATCACGATTGCCTATCACGCACCGATGTCACTGCCGTGAGCATCACCTGGCCATAATTTGGTCATACGTGATAATTTTTTCCCCACGAAGCGGAGGCTCGAGGCCTCGGTTCCTTTTAATATCTGCACAGAAGAAAGAATGCAAATTTGGCGAATCGTGTCAGAAAATTCTTAAATCTGATGCGGCAAAATAGCTTAAGAAAAATTACAAACAGAATTAATACTTATTATTACTTCGGATAACGTCTCGGGGAACACCTAAGAAACAAGTTGAGGCTAACTAAACGACAAAAAATTAGCTTAATATGATCCAACGCATAGAACATCAACTGAGACGTTGAAAAAGAGCTTTAAAAAAATGGCTAGAGAAATTGCATTACATTAAATGGTCACTAAAACATAAAACACAGATCACAAAGATGGCACAATATCACATGTATCACATGATAAAAGATTTCCCTTCTTGGACTAAAAAAAAAACACACTGAAGAATCACAGTTTTTAGGCAACAAAGAGTAGGGATGCATGGAACTGCAAAAAGCCACTATTTCATGAATAGTATTGAATGGTACATGTCCTTTAGCTAGTTTTAGCAAAGACTCCGCAGTCTCGTTTCGAGGCCAGTCACTAGAACCAAAGACGGTTCCCAGTCGGAAAAAGGCCAGAGGTGAAGGTTGGAGAAGAATTCGAGACGCAACGTCTCTTCGTCGCGTTTTGCCGAAAGAGTTGGGGAGAGCTTAGAATCCTC